ATTTTATGTATCCTCTGATTGCAAAATATATTGTAAAACTATACTAACTAAAACTGTATGGTTCTGGCAAGAAGAGAGAAATATGGACCAAGAGAACAGAGAGCCCAGAAATAAGTTCAAAATATATTGTCAATGCATTTTCAGCAAGGATACTAAGAACACACAGTAGAAAGGGACTAGGATGTAACCAGTGGTACAGTGAGTGTCTAGTATTCACAAATCCCTGAGTTCAAGCCTCATAAACCCTCCAGCCTCCTCACCCATAAATATACAAGAAGAAAGGATTATATCCTCAATAAACAGTATCAGAAAACTGGATAGCCACATGCAAAACATGAGATCTTTGCTTGACATCATATATAAACTCAAAACAGATTAGGCTGTAATGTAAGATCTGAAGCTATACAACTTCTAAAAGAAAACATAGGTGAAAGACTCATGATCTTGGTCCTGGCAATGCTTTCTTGGACCTGACACCAAGAACACAAGCAACAAAAGCAAAAATAGACAAATGGGACTACATCAAATGAAGACCTCCTACACAGCAAAGTTCTCATAATCCATAGAGTGAAAAGGTAATCCATAGAATGGGAAAAATATTTGCTAACTGTATATCTGATAAGGAGTTTATTTCTAGGATGTATAAAGAACTCTAATCATTCACTAGAAAGTTTGGCATAGTGGCAAACACCAGTAACCCTGGCACTTGGGTGCTGAGACAGGAGAGGTCAAGCTCTGCCTGGGTGATATAATAAGAACCTGTCTCAAAAAACCAACCAACAAATAAAATTTCAATAAAAAAATGACAAAAACACTAAATTTCATTAAAAATTGGGCAAAGGGCTTGAGTAGATATGTTTGCAAGTATGTCTGGAAGATGTACAAATGTCTAGCAGGTATGTGAAAGGTGATTAACATCACTAATTATTATTATTATTATATTTATTATTATTATTATTTAGGGAAGGGTCTATAGGGTATTCAGGGTCTCACTACTAGATTGGCCTTGTGGTGATCCACCTGCTTACAGCCTCCCAAGAGCTGGGATTACAGGCATGTGCTACCACGCCCAGTCTCAATTGCCACCTCAGTGCACCTTGGGGGTTGGGCCAGCACAAAAGGCCTGGGATCAAACCCCCGGCCCCTGCACCTGATTGCAGGTGCTTTAATCCGCAGAGCTATTTGGCTGGCCCTAACATCACTAATTATTAAAAAAAAAAATGTAAACCAAAGTCACACCGGTCAGGATGACTATTATCCAAAAGATGGGCTGGTGAGATGGCTCAGTGGTCTAAAGCACCTACTTAGAACAAGCTTAGCAAAGCACAGGGACCGCGGTTCAATCCCCCAGCACCACATGCCAGCCAGCCCCGCCCCCTGGTGGGCTGAGCTGGCCACACACACACACACACACACACACACACACAAATAAATAAATTTAAAAAAAAAAAAGATGAAGGGTGACATGTGTTGATGAAGACATGGAGAAAAAAAAGAATCCCTATACACTGTAAGTGGTGAAAAGTGGTGCTGCCGCCATAGAAAACACTATTTAGGAGCCTCAAAACATTAAAAATAGAATTACACATGACTCAGCAACCCCATTTCTGGTATTTATCCGCAAGAATGGAAATCAGGATCCTAAAGATATGTGCTCTCCCATGTTCACTGCAACCCTCACAATAGCTATGATATAAGAACAGCCTAAATGTCCATGGTGGATAAAGAACATGTGGTTCTACATACAATGAAGTGTTACCTATGACATAAAAAGGAAGGAATTTTGTCATGTACTGTAACATGGATGAATCCAAGGACATTAGGTTAAGTAAAATAAGCCAGCCAGAGGAGGACAAATACTGTAGAAGTCCCCTTAGGGGAGGTATATAAAAGAGCTAGTTAGTAGGAGTAGAGAGTGGAATAGGGGTTCCTAGGAGTTGGGTGGAGGGAAATGAGATCCAAACTCAAAAGTATAAACTTTCAGCTACATGCATGAGTAATTCTCATCTTTAAGTTCTAGAGGTCTGCTGTGCAACATTGTACCTATCGTTGTGCATTTAAATTGAGAGACTGGATCTCATACTGTTTTTTTTTTTTTTTTTTACCACAATACAGCAAAAACGATAGTCTAACTGATTTGAACAGGACATCTTCAAAGCCCCCGGAAACAGGCATGTTGTGGTTGGCCTGCCACCACACATCTTATTCAGTCATCTTTCAAGGGTACTTATTTCATTTCCCAACATCTCAGCACATTAGTCAGGCAGGGATGAAAAGAAGTTCTTCCAGGCATGTATTGGTGATGTTCAATGAAAGAAACAAAATAACATGGGTGGGGAACACTAAGAGGGTCACAGGACCCTGAAATAGAAAGAGATAGGAGGTTTGCTAACTCTGATCCCTTCACTCTGGCAGAGAGGCCACAAGCTTGAGTTTGATTATCATAAGGACTCTGCAGAACATGCTTTCATGTGTCTTTCCAGTGTTGGCACAATTTCAAATATTGCCTCTCCTCCCCCATGTTCATGACATTGAGTCTGGGTCTGATATTGTATGGCCATCTTGACCTTCAGGTGACAACTTGCTCTGAGGCTCTGTGAAAGAAAAAAAAAATCTTAATTGTCATTAAGAAGAAAATTTTGACTTTGCCCAGCATAGATCAGAAACCAAAAAACACTTACCAGGGACTATAGAACACTTACACTGGAGAAGCGTCTAGAAAGGTATGAAGAAAAAATAAAATATTTTCAGGGAATGGACATGGATAATTTTTATAGATAATTTCTAATCAGTATGCTTGGGGATTCTCAGTTTACCCAGAACAGATGCCAAAACAAAACAAAACAACAAAAAAAGTATTAAATTTGTTGAACAAATAACTTTCAAATATTAAGGTAATTATTTTTCAGTCCATGAAAGCAATTTATCCCTAGTCCTCAAACATATGCATGTTTATTGTCCAGATACTTTTTCTCCGTTCAATTCAAATCCCTCTTGTATCTCAACTCGTCCCAAACCTGTTTTCAATTCTTTTGCTCATGGCAATAGCCATCTGGTTTTTCTGTTTTCCAATTTTATCTTTGTAGTTTTCCTACCTAGGTTCTAGTGTGTAACCTTTACTTATCCTTAATAAAAACAATAGAGTTTCTACTGGCTCAGTCTATACTTTCCAAGCTGGGGACTTGGTGGTGTGACGTCCATTTATGCTCCACTTGTATGTCGCTGTGTAAGGTCAGATGCTGACAGTCCTACATCTGCCCTCATTCATTCCAGCCCTGGTTGTGTGTGGTTCACAAGGAAGCAGCATTATGAAGGGCACTGGGGACAGGCTTTGCGTGTGAGAGTGAAGGGCAAGTTGGGCAATAGTCTCCTTGGTTCTGATAAGCAGCCCTGAGCTGGGGTAACTGAGGGGTCAGACTCCTAGAGAGGGGAAACAGAGGCCTTCCTGTGTGGGGCTGCAGGCTGCCCAGTTCCACAGTGAGGCTGGGTGCATCTGATGGGTCAAGAGAGCACAGGTTGTACCCAACCCTGTGCCTTGGGTACAAACAGGGTGGGAGACGGACCTGAAGATGGACTGAAGACTTGGGCCAAGCAAGGAGGTGAAGGCATTTGTTTTTCTCTTTTCTTCCTCTCAGGTTTCTTTGTACTCTTTCTAAAATTCAGTCATTTAAACAGTTTCTGAGCTGTGCAGAACGAGGTGATGGCCAGTGTTTGACCTTTGGGTTCTCTTCTGAACACTGTTTACAAAAGTTGGACTGCGGGGAGGCCTCCTAATTAAACAACTGTGTGCACCCCCTGCAGAGCTCAGGATTGTTTTGAATATGAAAATATCAAGTTCTGACACCAGCAGGCAAAGCACTATTAATTCTGAGTATTTAACAACTCAAAACATATTTCCTTCCATTAAAACCCTATGGTATGACCCTGTTCTGTGTCATAGTTTTAATAACAATACTGACCACCTATCTGGGGGTGGTAGGAAAGCTGGGTATGAGTATCTCCCTGTTCCCCACACTCAGGACCCAAAGCAGAGGCACTGCTCTTTTCTCTTCATCACCAGAGATCAGCCTATATTTAACTCATGCCTGATCCACGAGCCACTGGATTCAGCTCATGCATTTGCTTGAAAACAGTGATCATAAAGCTTCTCTGCAGTTCTTGGTACTGGCGTGTCAGTAATCTATATATTGGGCTACCTGGAATGGAAGGCTTCCAGGCACTTTGGGTGGTGCAGATGGACCTAACTTCACCTACTTATCTCGGAGTCCATAAGTAGAACAAGCATCCAGGTCCAGCCACAGAGCTCAGCAGAAATCCAGAGTCCACCACCAAGAGTGAACTTTCCATAAGGAAATGCTTGTAAGAAATGGGGCCAGGACAAAACAAAGAAGAAGGGGCAGGAAGAAAGCTTGTAATTGCATTACTGCTATGATTTCTGTAGACATTTGGGAGATGAAATTGCCTCAAATTACTTACTGAGAGCAACTGCATGAGTTCTGACTGACACTTTCCAGCACGATTCCCTTCAAGGTTATGTGATGAGCCTGCTGGATAATATCTGGATATTTTATGCATATTTGTAACTGTCACTCTGCTTTGCCAAATTAAAAATTCCTGGAATGTCCACAGGAGAATACAATGTAGCTTTGGGCAGGTGGAATAAAATGTCCTCTCTTATGTGCCTGCCACATTCTTTCTCTTACCCTTTTAGTTCACCAAGTTGTAGGGACTGATATTCTTGGTGAATAATGCTGGGCCATGCTGAAAATTTGTGACAGAGCTGGACCCTCGTCATCACCACGCACTTTGTCACTAAGACAGGGTAACCCATGGTAACTAAGCTCTTGCGGTGAAGGGGCAGAGAGCCTCCCCTCCCTGTCTCTCTATAAAAGGGACCCAGCAAAGGGACCCTACCAGCATCTGGCTTTCAGTCCTGGCAGGTGCAGGAAGGAGGACCCGGCTCTAGGGCAGAGCTCACAGGCAGACCAAGGAAGGCCAGCATGCCCCCCAAACTCAAACTCCAGTGTCACTTCGTCCTCATTGTCCTGGCGGCTCTGAGAGGGGACAGCCGGTACCTAGAGGTGAGCTGGCCCTGAACTGACCCTGTGAGGGAGGCTGGCTGACTGCTCGCAGCCTCTGAGCAGGTAGCGCTGCCCTGCTCTCTCCGCCGGTCCTGCCCCTGCTCTGCTTTTCTAGACTGGCGGGTCCCTTCCGCTGGGCACCGGTGACACCTCTTTGGCCGCAGGAAAGGTGCAGGACCCCCGGGGACGCGGACTCTCTCTTGGTTCGCTTTGCCCTGTGCCGGGTCCACTTTCCTACCTACACCTTCAACTTTCAGACTAACCCATTTTCCTCGCCAGCTGCAAGACGCCGCGGACTACGACCCTCTCCTGCTCTTCAGCGCCAGCCCGAAGCGGGACTTGCCCGGGGAACAGCCTTACCGCCGCGCGCTGCGTGAGTGGGGTCCAGGGGCTCGGGGGAGGGAGCACGGCGGCGACCCTCAGGGCGGTCCCATCCGCTCTTTAGGGAAGACGGGTAGGACGCGCCCAGAGTGCGGAGCCCGGGCTGCTGAGCTGGAGCGGGGGCGGGGAGCCCTATACTCTGACCCCCACTCCACCTCTGCAGGGTGTCTGGACATGCTGAGCCTGCCGGGCCAGTTCACTTTCACCGCCGCACGGCCGCAGCTGCACTGCGCCGCCTTCTTCATCGGCGAGGCGGAGGAGCTGCTGTCCATCCACTTCGACTTGGTGTCCATCGACTGCATGCGCGGGGACTTCCTGAAGGTGAGGCACCAGCCCGCGACGCCCCAGCGGGTGCAGGTAGTGGGGGTTGGAGAGGGACAGGATGTTGCACCTCGGCTCTGATACCTCCGTGGGTGCTCGAGGTCGCGACCACAAGGAAGCCCTCGTCACACACCGCAGGGCTAGTGCTTTTGGAGCTTCCAGACGCTAGAACTTGAGACGCGATGCCCGGGAGTGCAATCTGGGGTTGCAAAATGTGATACAAAGGTGCCACCGAGGGATCAGGGTACAGTACTGAGGCCGGCCCCGCCCCCCAATACTGAGACCCTGCCAGTGTTTGGAGACCTCCGGCACTGGCAGCTAGGGGATGCTGGCAATCAAAGGGAGACAAGACCCCAGCCTCTCAGCACCCCTTGCCAATCTCCTGCAGAAGGCTAACAGGTCAGTTAGGGCCCTCTCTCATTTGTGGAAAACAGGATTGGAACCTCAAGGCAGAGGTGTTTTGGAACCTGACAGACACTTTACAGATCATTTGTATGGGTTGTTGGTCATTTTGGTAATGCGGACTAGGCTGGACTCATTAAACTGGAGACCTGTGGTGATTCTGAAAACAAAGTGGATTGACTGGACTTTGTGTGACTGGACCCTTGTGTAGTGAGTGAGGCTTCCGGGTGACACTCTACCCAGCGTTCCTGTCCCCAGTAGTCCTTCATATTTTACAATAGTATGGTATGGTTGGGAAAAAATGTGAAGAATGAACGTTTGCAACCCTGCCAGGTATAGCTGAAGTTCCAGGGTTTTTTACTACCTTTTTTTTTTTTTTAACTACCTATTTTTGAGGTATTTTGTTCACCTTCCAATGACCAGAGGAAAGAAAGGAGCTGAACAAACCCCAAATTATGCTAAGGTTGGATTCTGCTAAAGATGGCATATGTAGAACATGTGTAAGGAAGTTCACTTATTTTACAGGAATAGAATTGCTTTGCAATCTGACAGTCAAAATATATAGAAATGAAAGTCCCGTGGGTTAGGGGAGCCTGGGCTGTCAGCTCCTCACGTCAACCCAAGACTCAATATGACCCCCTCCAACACACTGCGATTTCAGGAGCTGGTGACAGTGACCATGGATGTCTGTATCATTATTATTTTTGTCAGGTATTTGATGGTTGGATCCTCAAGGGGGAGAAATTTCCCAGTTCCCAGGATCATCCTCTCCCCACCACTGAGCGGTACACAGACTTCTGTGAGAGTGGTTTTAGCCGAAGGACCATCAGATCCTCCCAGAATGTGGCCATGATCTTCTTCCGGGTTCATGAACCAGGAAATGGATTCACATTAACCATAAAGACAGATCCCAACCTCTTTCGTAAGTGACCTCCCTGCCTTCTCAATCCAAGGACAGGATTAGGGATCAAGACTCTTTTGCAGTGGCAGTTGTACCCCACAGACTAAGGAATTTGAGCTGAGAAATTATTTGAGTGGAAAGTCATTTGTTATTAGAAGAAACCTAAAGGATATTCTCTCTTCATTATCAAGAAAAGGATTTTAGTTTTTAATTTACTGTCCAGGCTAGAGTAGTAAACTAGTTTATGGTGGCTATAATTCTATTTTTCCTCCCAAATCTTCTGATCTCCTAAGCTGCTATAATGCATTTCAAGAAGAAAACTTTAATCTTCTAAGTCATTTTACTCATGTAGGACAAGCGTGGAGGATCAGATACGAAGTGGTGGCCTTAGAACTAGCTACCGAGGCAAAGGCTGGCACTGTGTGTTTGAGATATGGTGAGCAAATGTCCTGTGCTGAGCAGGGAATTGAACTAGAATGTGTTGTGCTGCCCTCTGATACAGAGCCTGCTGCCTCATCCAGTTTTTTTCTGATGGGGATGTGGAAAATATGCAGCCCAGGCTTAAAGCATGTGTTTTGTTTTGTGATACTGAGAGTTGAAGCTAGGCCTTCACCTTGAGCTGCGTCCCAGCCTTTTGAGACAGGGTCTCAGTAAGTAGTTACACTGACCAAACTAGACTTGAATTTATGAACTTCTTGTTTCATTCTCCCAGAGTATAAAGCACACATTGTTTTAATCAGAATGAGTTCATCTGCTTATTTGTCCCCATTAAGAAAAAAAAAATTTAAATCAGTAAAAGTAAGAATATCACTCATTTTAGGTTGCCTATAATATATTACCACTACACTATTATAATACTAATATATAATAGCACTAAATAATAACAATATTAATGCTAACAGTTCATTAATTAATATTAATACTAATAGTGATAGTTGAAGAACAGTACCTAATCTGTCAACAAATAATAAACTACTAATCTTCTGAGTTCCACTTTAAAAAAAAAAAGAATTTTTAAAAAATGCCTCTGATTGTTACAGGTCTCACTACATAGCTCAGATTTGTGGTAATCCTCCTGCTTTCACCCTTCCCAGCACTGGGATTACAGGCATGCACCACTGTGCCCCAGACTCTGGCTGGTTCAGCCTGCCCTGGGGATGTGACTGGCATGGCACGTTGTGCCAGGGATCAAACTGTGGTCCCTATGCTTGCCTAACCTTGCCTAAGCAGGCACTTCAGTCTGCTGAGCTATCTTGCCAGCCCCCCTCCCCCAAAAGTAATTTTTCAAAGAATCACTCCAAAAAAAGCTGTTTCTGATGATTGAAGCAGAATGCTGCTCAGAGATTAAATGAAATGTCTGGTCTGAATTTTGTTTGGTAAAAAGTCCGAAGAAACCTTTTGCATTTTACAATAGAATTTTAGTTCTTTTTTGGAAGTTAGCCTAATCAAAAATAAAAGAAGGAGGCAAGAAATGAGTTTGACTGTTTTGATCAGAATCTTTAGACCTATAATCATAAAAATGCCTATGTTTATGTTTCTGTTTCTTAGCTAGAAGGATAAATATATTTTAAATGTAGGAGTAAGTATATAAAAAAAATTCCAGAAATTCTTGACAGTAAACATTAAACATTTATCTTTTAGTCAACATCAATCAACAATGAGCATGAGTTTATCAAATTTAAGTATGTTGTGGCTTTTTTCTCAACCTATTTCATCAGTATTATAAAATACTTAAAATTGTTTAATTTATTATCTAAAAATAACATTATGGATCAAATTCTGAATGAAGACTTCAGATAGAGTTGCTTGCTTCTTTGTTTTTTGAGACAGGGTCTTGCTATGCAGTTCAGGCTGGCCTTGAACTTGCTATGCAGCCCAGGCTGGCTTCAAACTTGTGGCAGTTCTCCAGCCTCAGTCTCCCATGTGCTAGGATTAGAGGCATGCACCACCAGGTCCAGTTAGACAGAGGTCAAGTTCTGGCTTCACTTTGATTATCTAGATTCCTAGCTTTGACACAGGCTCTCATTAACAGATGTGTTTCCAGATCTACCACCAGCTAGGGTTGCTTGTTTGGCTAATGGGATTGTATAAATAAGAAAGAGTCCTGAGAGAAAGGTTAGAAGCCTTGAAACCCAGCACCCTTTTATGGTGGGTTTTTTTTTTTAAGAGAAAATAAATAACAGAATTTCAAAACAAGATAACAGGAGGGTAACAATGGTTAATATATTGTAGATTATTAATTTAAATTTGTTATTAAGAGTACAAGATATTAGCATTTAATTGTCCTTACAATATTAGCACAAACCTTTCTTTTCAATGGACTAAGAGAAATTACTGGTATAGTTATCTTAATATATATATATATATATATATATATATATATATATATGGTTTTGTTTTGTTTTTGTCCCCTTCCTTCTTTACTTCAAACTCCGATGTTGTTTTCTTTCTCAACTCCTCCCTTTCTCATCACTATCATTGTGATACATATTCTCCTCCTGGCACAAGACCCCTAACCCATGAACAGTGAACTAGAATAAGGATATGTCTGTAAGTGCCCCTCTATACTTCTATAAGAACCCAGCAGACCTAATAATCCAAATTCAATCTCTTTGTCTCTGCCAAGCTTGCAATGTCATCTCTCAGACCCCAAGTGGAAGGTTTACTCTGGTGGTTCCACACCAGCATCGGAACTGCAGCTTCTCCATCATTTATCCAGTGGAGATCAAAATATCGGCTCTCACCCTGGGACATGTGCACGGTCTTCAGTTAAAAGTGAGTGGCTCACTTACTTCCTGAACATTTGTCCAAGCAACAGCTTTAGTGCAGCAGACGCCAACTGGAGAAGCAGGTTCCTCGGGGCTTTAAACTCTCATGTGCATGCGCTTTTGCCAATTCCCAATTAGGTGCCCGTTCTGAAGGCTTCCACACTGTCCTGTGATGTAAGCAGTGCTTTCAGCAGCAAAAGTTGTGGTATGTAATTACAATTGAACTCCCTTGTACTTGAGTCTTTCATAAAATTCTCTCCTAGCAGAACCTAGCATGAGTCATCTACACAGCTGCTTTTCTGATTATTGGAATCTTCTTCTGACATGAAGGAAGTATCTCATGGACAGAACTATGGAAGGGAGGGATGTCACCCGTAGCATAAAATTTAAGATTCGGTGTTTTTATATTGCCAAAGGCCATAAAATTTTGAAGATCTTGCACTACATTTAATAAATTTTGCCTCAGTGAAATTAGTTGAGACTCCCTATCAACTTGGTTTTAAATGAGCTTCTGAATAACCTTAAAATGAATGCAGGACTCAAACATATTTACCAGCATGGTAGCACCTTCCCGTGAGTCAGCCTCATTTCCTTTTTCTTGCCCATCTGCCTAGGCTCAGATAACTCATATGTTTGCTGGTATCAAAGGTGGTCATAGTTTCTCATCAGATTTTAGTGAAAATTAAATAAATGGGAACTCAGTGGAGACAAGAAAGCATTTCCAATTTCCTCTAATCCTAACCAAGCCTGTGCTGATGCTGGTGTAAAACTAATCTTTTGATAAGGATGACTTTGAGGATCTTTGGTCCGGCCTGATACTTTTTATGTCATTCTTGATGTAAAACCCAGAACACGGGAGGTGTAAGAGCAGATTGGGAGATTTGTCATTTAGGTATTAAGTCTAAAAGGAAAAAAAGATGGTGTTTCTCCTTGACAATGAAGAACTGTATAGTGTTCTAGTCATCTATTCTTTTACAAGATTTTTTTTTTCAGCAATTCCTGTGTGCAAAGGACCATTCTAGGTACTGTGTATTTTAAACAGTGCTAAGTGTTGTATAGAAGATACACTAGAATGGTTTGAGAGCATGACCAGTTGTGAGTCAAGGAAGGAACTATCTGGGCTAAGGTGATGAGGAAAGAGACCTGTGGAAGGGGATATTTCAAGCGACACCTGAGAGACAGATCAGAAGCAGCCAGAAACATGGGAAAAACAGGGAACAGAGCAAACAATGGGTTTGCTGGGTTCCAGAAATGGGAAAAAGACAAGGCATGGACAAGAATGAGAAGCTCAGGGAGATAGGCCAAATGAGAGGACCTTGCTGTCCCTGTTTTTAAGCCTGGTGGGACACAGTGAAGGGGCCAGCTGGGAGGTGACATGAATAAAACACTGTCTAAGCTCACTGGGCTTCCACAGGGTGAATGGATGGGCTCGGGCCATGTTGCTCTTTGCATGGCCTTTTGAGTTGTTTCTCTGATGATTGTTATTACTGTATCTATCAAGATTATTCATTAAAAGCTCCAGATATGTGTACTAAAAAGTGAGTTCCACCCAGAGAGATCAGTTCTGCGTGCTGAGCAGGCTGTGGTACAGGAATTCAGGTGCTCAACTGAACACTGTTGTAGTGTAGCAGGAGAGAATAGTACCTTAGAAGTCCAACAGAAATATCTAAAGGATTGCTCCAGAGGATCAGGCCCCCAGAGAGAGCCCTATACAATCTGGTTTTATCCATTATTTATAGGGAAAACTGAGGGTTCCCAAAGAGGAGGGAGATGTCATTGAACATTGAGGAATAGATGCATACAGTTTTCTTTTTCTTTCTTTCTTTTTTTTTTTCATTTATGTATTTGGTACAGCGTCTCACTAAGCAGCTTGAACTGGTGGTGATCCTCCCATTTTCAGTCTCCCCAGCACTGGAATTATGGGCATGTGCCACCACACCTGGACTCAGTTAATGGCTCATTGTGCTCCAGGGGCAGGGCAGGGGTGGTGTTCTTGTTTTATTTTGCCCCTTCATTTTAGTGTCAAGTTCTTCCCAACTTTTTTCTTTCCCATTTCTCTCTCTGGAGCCTGTGGTTTCCCTTCAACACCACCTGATAACATCTGGAATCTAAAGAACCAAGTAGAAACTTCATCTTTAGAGATGCTCCCCTTGGACATCATTTACTCAAGGAAAAGTTAATTACGTGTGGTTTTTTTCCTTTCATCTCAAAATAGTTTATCTCTCAACTCATAAACATGAAGCCTTTTGTACAGTGAAGTTAATTAAATCAGTTTCATCATTTGATGCAATTACGGGCAAAGGAAGCATAGAACCTTGTACATAGTAGGACCTTTAAAAATAGATGTACCCTTTGCCTGCCTTCATTAGCAGACAGTTGCCTTTTTTTTCCAAATGTGTGTGTCAAGGTGTCTGTCGGATTGTGTGCTTGTGTACATGCTCACACGTTCAAAGTTCTTGGTTTTAGAGTTTAGTTCCTATGTGTAAGGGTCTGTGTGGCTTACTTCTGGCACCTATCACCATCCATAGCCTCCTGATTTAGTCTCTGTGAGAGAAGGATGGCGGGAAAAACTAGAGACAAGAATTATGGGGAATGGTACAAATTTAAAATTTGGAAGATTTAGTTAAAAAATTCATTAAGAAGTTTAAGACAGACTGAGCAGTAAGTGGAGCTTGGGGTCCTTCTAGGCACGGCTCTAGGTGTGGCTGCCTGTGATGCAACCCAGGTCACCTGGGGGCCCCCAGTATATCCTGGATGCCCTCCAGTATTCAGTGAAGGGATATGAGACAGAGGCTGCTTTTTCTGTGGGAAATCGGAGCACAGAAATTTCTGTAGAAAAGACTGGAAAGGACCAAGGGAAGCAGAAAAGATGGTGACAGTGGATCACATGGGGGCTTAGAATCTAATCTCCCTTTAAGTAGCTTCATGTGCTCACCTTGCCAGCCCCTATACTAACACTGAGTAGCTTGACATAACTTCGCTTTAGTTGAATGGGGACAGGTGATGGTAAGTCTGGCTAGCTTGGGCCTCAAACCAGTTTTGTGCCTTTTAAAGTATACTCCAATTGGGCTGGGGAGATAGCTTGGTGGTCTAAGTGTCTGCCTGGCAAGCGCAAACACCCAGGTTCAATCCTTGCTACCGGTACCACATGCTATGCAGGCTTCAACGTTCCCCTGTGCTGGGAAGGCTGAGACAGGGGGATCACTACAAGTCAGAGCTGCATAGGGAGACCCTGTACAAAAAAAGAAAAAGAAAAAAAAATTAAGAAAAATGTTTACTCAACTTACTCTAAAACTTTATTGGTAGAAATCGTGTGATCTAAAGAGCAGGGAAGCAGGGGCTTTGCCAGATAGCCCAGTTGTTTAAAGCGCTGCAGGCCTGTAGGACCGCATTTAGATTCCCAGCTCCAGAAGCTGTACCAGACCTGCCCTGAAGGCAGCCTGAAGTAGCCAAAAAACAAACAAACAAACAAAAAAAAAAAAAACCAAGAACAACAACAACAACAACAAAACCCAAAAAACAAAAAACAAAAAAACCCCTCCTTTTCAAAGAGCAGAGGAAGTCCTTTATAAAGAACAGGAAAAGAGATGAATTAAAGAGACACCCTGTGCTGAAGCTTGCTGTATAAAATGCAGATAATTGACTTCATTTAGGTCTGCCTGCATGCATTAAGACATTCAAATCATTCCTTACATACATCAAGTGATTCAAAAGGCAAAGCATCCTCAAGTTGCATTTTCATACATCTTATAGCAAATTTACAGATTCCTGCTTCATCATTCCAGCCTTTGAGCTTAAATGATTTTTTTAAACATGAGCATACATTAAAAAAAAAAAAAAAAGATCACTTGACTGACTTAGGAAAGTAACTCTCGTGATTTTTTTCTTATAATAGCTTTTTAATTTCCGGTGCTCCAGATGCTAGATTCAAAGGCACTGCCAGGACTGCGAAGGACTGATTAAGTGAACCCACCAGTCCATCACTGGCCAAATGGACTGATCTCTGTCTTGATTTAAATGTGTCTTTTTCTGCTGCTTTATCCTCTTAGAAACCCTCAGCGGGCTGTGGGGGAATCGGGGACTTCGTGGAGCTTCTGGGAGGAACCGGCCTGGATCCTTCCAAGATGATGCCTTTGGCTGACCTCTGTTACCCCTTTCATGGCCCCGGTGAGACCCCTTGCAATTGTACTTATGTCCCTATCAAGATTATTTAGAGAAAACACTCACCACTTTTAATACATTGGAAAGTGAGTTCCACCAGGAAGAACTTCCATTTTAGATGTGAAGCCAATATGAGAATTTTACATTTGAGCCTATATTGTACAGGATCAGAATCTGTTATCAAAATATCTGACATTGAGAGTAAACTATGAAGCCATGGAGATGTATATTTTGTTACATCTAAAGCTAGTCGGGGCTGGAGAGATGGCTCAGTGGTCTAAAGCACCTACCTGGAACAAGCTTGGCAAAGCGCAGGGACCGCGGTTCGATCCCTCAGCACCACATGCCAGCCAGCCGAGCCCCCTGGTGGGCTGAGCTGGACACACACACACACACACACACACACACACACACACACACTAAATAAATGCTAATAAAGCTAGTAGTTTTCAGGCAGCCACAGTGATCCAGATGTTAATTCAAAGATCTAAAAGTGGTGACCAATATTTAAAAAATTGGCTTAGGACAGAGCTGCCAAACAGATCTTCTCTGTCAAGAGCCAGAGAGAATTTTCCATGTGATCATGCTGAGGTAGGGAGGAGTGGGAATCATTGGCCCCATGACCAACCTCATTACATGTGTTTGTGGATTCCACAGGATGTTTCTATGAGGGTCACTCCCATGCTTGTACTTCCGGTGCAGAAGTCTGCTTACCTTCAAAGAGACAAAAATAGAATAGAAGACAGAGAAATGAAATCTCAGACCGGTTCATTTTTATGTGGCCCCTGCCTCTCTAGTCATTGAAGACCCTTCACTGACTGTAGGTCATGAAAGTGCAAAGCAGACAGTTGTGTTGATCAGTGGTGCCTCATTTTAATTAAAACCAGATTAACTCACCAACCTTATCTCTCTTCAAGCTAATGCTAGAACCTGGCTACACAAAACATCTCTGAAACAGACTTGATATGCACAGATGAACACTAAGGCTGACATGTACTCTGCTCTCCCCAGTTCCTCTTCAGGAAAGAGGTTTTGGATGAGCTGTCACGCAGCATGGAGCCCAAGCTTTCCCCTCAAAGTGAAAGCAAAAGCCTTCTAAAAACCCATTTTGTTGAAGACTGGATTTTTTTTTAATGCTAATTGGCCCTTGAAGCTTGTTTTACACTTGCAGCCTTCTCAGGGCATTCTGGCTGGTGTTGGTGCTGTGGAGAGATCTGCTGAGTGAGATAGAAAGATTAGTTGGGCCTGAAAAACAAGTTTCCTGAGGCCTGAGTCATTTTTTTTCTGCTTGAATTATGACTTGAAATAGGCAGGTCAGCAAGGTAACTCAGCAGACTAAGCACCTGCTTAGGTGGGGGGGGTTCAATTCCAGGCACCACATGTCATACTGGCCCTGCCCACAGGCTCACTGAGCCAGGGACAGAGTCTGGGCATGGTGGTGCATGCCTGTAATCCCTGCACTGGGGAGGTTGAAAACAGGTGGATCACTATGAGTCTGAGCTGTGTAGGAAGACCCTGTACCAAATACATAAATTAAAAATAAAATAAAATAAGAAATAGGCAAAAGGATGAAATTAAGTTAAAAGAAAACTACTGTTGCCTAAATTATGCAGATAACTGGAATCAATTTTGAGGTTTATTTATTTATTTATTGTTTTGAGATAGTTCTCATTGTGTAGTTCAGAGTGTCCTTGAACTCACTATGTAGCCCAGGCTGCCCTCAAACTGGAGGTGATCCTTCTGCCTCTGCCTCTTGAATGATGGGATTATAGACATGCAACCATTTGAGATAATTTTAAGATTTGAATTGCAGCATTTGTTGTTTCATTTTAGATTCTTTTCTTTCATCTGCTCTGTTTTAGTGATCTACTCTTAAGTTCAAAAAATACAGAATGATTAGGGCCTTTGCCTCTTAGATTGAATTTTATCAGAAGTATGTAAATATCATAATTGATACACATATTAACTAAAAGAAATAGAGTATATTACATGAAGTTCAGATTAAGATCAGAAAAAAATGACTTTCTAAGTTGTTTAAATTTGTCCCTTCTGGAAAAGGTTAACCTAAGCTCCCTGGCTCTTACATTAGAAACAATCATAAGGATTATATTTATTATGTTCTTAGATTAATATTTTTGAATTATTTTATTTCATTGTAGCCCAAGTACATATTTGCAAGTTACTTTTTCAACATATTATGTTGATGTTTCTCAGAATTTATTATTATTATTATTATTATTATTATTATTATTATTATTTCACAGTGCTGGGGATCAAACTCAGGACCTTGCACTTGCCAGGCAGGTACTTATGCTGCTGAGCTATCTCCCTGGCCCCTGTTTCTTAGACATTAGAAATGACTTATGGACTGAAGAGAAAAGACAGGAAATCAATACAACAGAAAGGATTATTGTAGGGCCGATATATCTTGCCTCCAACATTGCTCGAGGTTAGAGAAATAAAAGGAAAATCACTTTTAATAAAAATACTATGATTTTCTTTATATAACTGCTCAAACAGACCTGCATAAAAAGAAATATAACAGTTGTCAGGTGCTTATACCGATAATGAAAATACTGGACATATGGTGAGAACAAGTATTAGAAACTGCTCTCTATGAGACATACCTGAAAAATTGAGAGCAAAAACGTTCAAGTGAATCACGGAATAAGCACCACTATACTCAGCGCATGCCTTTACCATGCAGAATTATTTTCTAGATTCAGAAAATAGTAAACAGATGATTGCATCTATATAAACTCCAAGCAGCATATTTTGATCATTAGCCCTTGCCCACTAAATGCCCTTACAACCC